CCAGAGGGCGGGCAGAGTCAGCAAACTGGGGACAAGGTAAAGGGGCGGAGGTTAGGGTCCATCACGTAGGGCCTCGGAACTCTGCCTTTCCCTCTGCGGTTTTCAGTAGAGGAGTGACATCGTCGCTGTACATTTTAACCGAATGACTGTGGCCGCCATGTGGAAAAGTGACTGCAAGTTGGGAAAAATCGAAGATTGGAGAAAGGTGTGCATCGTTACCTATTGCCACAAAACGAAGTCTCCCCTGAACTTAAGGACTTTAAAACAAAAATTTATTTTTCCTGATTCTGTGGGTTGGCTAGCTGGCTTTGCTCCACAGTGATGGCTGCCACCACGTTCGGGGCCACCACGTTTGGGAAGGAGCTTGGCGGCGACGGGAGTGTCCCAGACGGCTTTCCATGTCTGCCGCCCCAGCAGGCTGGCTGCAGGGAATGGGGACTGGTCAGACTTCTCACACGGTGGCTCCAGGTTCCCAGAGAGCTCAGGAGAGATTGCCAGGCCCCTTACGGGCGAGGTCTGGATCCCGCCCAGGGCCACCTCCCTGACAGGTCCTGTCGCACCAAGTCAAAGGCCAACACAGTCTGAGGGGCAGGGAAGCTGTGTCAGCCCAAATAATGGCCCTCCCAAGACGTCCACATCTTAGTCACCGGAACTTGTGAATATGTTACCTTAATGGCAACCTCTTAATGAGGGTGACACCTGTAATCGAGCAGTGTTTCAGGTGACAGATGACAGTAGCTTGGGCTAAGGGGGTAATAGAATTTGGAGAGATGGGTCGTATTCTGAACTTATGTTAAAGGTAGAGCAAGAGGATTTGGTAATAAAGTGTTTCGGTTGGCCTGGGCTGCCATAACAAAATACCAGAGACTGGGTGGCTTAAAGCAGCGGTCCAGAACCTTCGTGGCACCAGGGACCTGCGCTCCTATGGGCATCTAACGCCGATGGTCTGAGGCGGAGTTGAGGCGGTGGTGCCGGCGCTGGGGGGCGGCTGCAGACACAGATGAAGCTTCGCTCACTCACCCTCCGCTCACCTCCTGCTGTGCAGCCTGGTTCCTACAACCAAGGCCCGGTACCGGTCCACAGCCCAAGGGGTTGGTGACGCCGTCGGCTTAAACAGCACATTTATTTTCTCACAGTCGTGGGGGCGGGAAGTCTGAGGTCAGAGCGGTAGCAGGTCAGTTCTGGCGAGACCACTGTTCCTGGCCTGCAGATGGTCACCTCCTTGCGGTGTCCTGGGATGGCCTTTCCTCGGTGTGCACGTGGGGGAGTTAAGAGGTCACTCTCTTCCTTTTTGAAGACCATCAGTCCCACTAGATTAGGGCCCTGCCCTTAGGACATTATCTAACCTTAAATACCTCTTAAAAGTCCTATTTCCAAATACGGTTGCGTCGAGGGTTAGGGCTTCAGCACGTGAATTTGGGGACACGGGTCAGTCCGTAGCAAACAGGAAGTGGGATGCGAGAGAAAGAGGAGCCAAGGACGACTAGTTGTTTAGTCTGGTTAATTGGAAAAAGAGATGTACGTTAACTGAAGTAGGGGATAATGCCGAAGAGACGGGGTTTGGGGGATTCTGTTCAATTCTGGACATATTAGATATTACATAGGTAACCTGATCTGAGTTTGGACTGGACATGAGTTGTCCGGACTGGAGATATAAACTTGATAAAGACGTAACATTCCTGGACTGGCCCATTTGATCGCAGATGGCATCTGACACCATGAGGACGAGAGCAACTAGAGTCGGCGTGGCAGCACAGTCTCCCTGAGGGCCTGGACAGGAGGAGCCACAGAGCACTGACGAGGGCCGACTGGTGCGGCAGAGGCCGAGAGGCTGTGGAGTCTGGAAGTGACACAGGGAATGACAACTGTGTTCGGTGTTGCTTACAGGTCGAGTGCGGTGAGGACTAAGTGTCGATCGTCAACTACAGCAATGTGGAAGTCATGAGCGACCGTGACAGGATCTGCGCAGTGACAGTCTGGTTAGAGACCGGCCCAGGGAGCATGGGGGGACAGCGTGGGGGTTTGCTGCGAAGGGAGCAGGAAGTGGCGTGCGAGCTGGACACAGAAGTGGAGTCGCACGTGTTTTAAGATGGACAGTATGACAGGACGTTTGTGTGGTGGCAGGAACAACACAGCAGAGGGCAAAAGGAAGAACATAACGTAGGCGAGGAAGGAAGAGTGCCCGGCACGCGAGGGAGAGATGCCCCGGATGTCTGCATGGCTCACTCGGTCCCCTCCTCCGGATCTGTCTCCGCGTCACCACAAGATGAAACCCATGCCCTTTACCTATCGTCCTTCTGTCCCCTTCTCCCATGCGTCAGCCCTAAGTAACAAGAATCTACTCTGTCCCTACAGATCTGCCTAAACATTTCGAACGGAAACATACCATGTGGGCTCCGGGCTCTGTTGTGACTGGCTTCTTTAACTTAGGATATACTGTTTCCGAGGTTCATCCGCACTGTAGCATGAATAGTGCTTTGTTTCTTTTTATTCCTAAATAATACTGCAGGAACATACATTCTGTTTACCCAGTCATTCACTGATGGACATTTGATTACTGTGAACAGCGCTGCCATGAACATATCACTAGGAGAGGAACTACAGGGTCGTATGGTAATTCCGTTCAACTCTTTGAGACTGTCTTCTGCAGTGGTCACGAGATTTTACGTTCCTACCAACAACGTATGAGGTTCCAAATTCTCCATGTCCCCACTAACACGTGTGTGACGATAGCCATCCTGGTGGATGCGCGGTGCTACCTCGTGGCGGTCCCGCCCACCCCCTCACTCCCTCCAACGGCAGCCTCCTTCGCTCTCTGTAAAGAACCAGACATCGCTTTCTCCTGCTGCATCCCAGCAGCGTCTGAGAAATCAATCTGTGAACCGGTACGTGTGTACTTCACACCGCCACTTCGGACCTTACAGGTACCTTTCAAACATCACGGTAATTCCCCACGACACCCCTTCTCCGCCCCTGCAGACTTCAGGTAATAACTACATAATAATGTAAAGGCTGAAACGGAAAACCTCTTGAGAGCTTATAGTTCTTCTGTTGATTATCTGATGTTTTTTCACTACCAAAAACCCATTTTGATATGATCTTTTCCTGTTTGACAAATATGAGGATTTATGAACTGAATAAAAGCAAGTGCACTTGAAAAGCTTCGAGCTTTATTCAGAGTCAAATGTGGGGGACCGGAATGCGACAACAGGAGGAAGAAGGAACACTGTTCCAGAGGTAAGGTCTTCCTGAGATCTCTACCTGACTCTCCCCATCCTGAGGTGGTAGCTTTCCTTTAAAAACCGCCCAAAATACACTTTGCCAAATACCGAAACTACGTACGTGCATCTGAAATAAAACAAGGTCAGGGTGGAGATGCCTTTTGCAGGTTGCCACAGAGGTTGAAAGGTGTTTCCACAAAGGTTGGCAGCTCCGGTTGGGACGCCTGGGGTAATTGCCCATGCAAATGAGTGCCGGGAAAGTGTTCCCGGGATTCACCTCCACTAAGCCCTGAGAAATCATTACAGGTTATAAAACTCAGTGTTCTAATCGTGACACTCATGGGAAGCAGTTCAAGCGGCACGGCTGTACTGAGCAAGGGAACAGGGAGGGGGCAGAAGAAAAATATGGCTGAGCCAGGTTTTGTCAAGTTGAGGTCTGGGGACCGGCCATTGCAGTGGAGCTGGGAAAAACACCCTCTTTCCAGACTCTGAAAATGTTCACAACACACTGGTTTCCTTAGAGGGAGTCGCACTGAGATGATTACGTTGACATCAGCGTTGTCTTTTTTTCTCCTCGTGGTCTAGTCATCCCGCATCAAAGAGGGTCAGACCTTGCACAAACCGAAAATTATGTGCCCCACACTCACAAACCAAGAGTGCAGCTCAGGTCCTCGGGGGCCTGTTTGGTCCATGAGGCTGGTCACTTCACGTGGGCAAAGGGGTGCGAAGGTCTGATGGCGGCCTCCTGGCTTCGGAGCTGGAGAAGACCCCAGCGAGCGGCCACAGCAGAAAACCTTCGTGTGACAGACCCACCGTTGTGTGTCAGGGACTTGAAATCGGTGCCACGGTCTAGCCAAGCGGTTTCACTCGCGGGTAGTTTACACCGAGGAGACTGCGCACGTCTTGCAATAACAGACCTGCGTGTGCCTCGGCCCGGTGAGGCCGGGCTTTGCGTGGAGGACGCCGACTGCCCCGTAGTCACCCATCCCGGCGGCCGCAGCGTCACCGCTCGGCGCACACCGACGGAG